TTGATCAATATGAGTGACATAATCAGTTGTCTTGCAAGCACCTAATTTCACCTGATCTATCCACAGAGCAACTCGATCGAGTGAAGCCGCCCATTCGTGATTATTTGACAAGTGTGCCAATATCTTAACGAGTCGACCGAATCCGAATCCGAATCCGGTGGTCGAGCCAGACTGTTGACCTAGAGTTCACATCATCTGTTTGTTCCGCTCGCGCAGCGATGATAATCCTTTCCGTGTACCGTACACACGTGCAGNCACGTGCAGCCAATCTTTCGGAAATAGGTCGCGATCAATAGCCGGCCACTTAGTGATGTGACAGGATACTGTTAGGTTTCCGACGCCTGTTTGAGGGCGGAGTAAAAGTTACGTGTATATGGTTGCAAACGTCAGTCTGTAACCGTCTTTTATTCGTCTCAAACAGCTAGGAAACTTCCATTGATCGTTAAAAAATAGGATATTTCATCATTGTGGCTGCTGAACGGGATAATAATAATAATAATAATAATAATAATAATAGCAGAACAGCGTTACAGGTATTTTTGATCACTCGATCATTTATTTCGTACACATTCCCATCGAAATTAATAAGCCCCAAGCAACTGCGATCGTCATTGCTTGCATCTGATGGATGAGATTAGAATCGTTTCCCTGTGAATGCCGGTGTTTCCTAAGGTTCCATACTTTCACTCAATCTCTTTCATCTGTTTATCAACGATCTTCTGTCCAAAACCTCTAATCCCATTCATCGGTTTGCCGATGATGCCACTCTCCATTGGTGTCTTTCTTACCCCACAACCCATCTGGCAACTACGAATAATGATCACGTTTGTGGTTGCATTAGTGCTTCTCTTGCCTCCGACCGCGGGCTCATCTTCCGATCGGGTTCCATCAAAAATGTGTGTTGCAATGGTTCAAAACCTTCTTTCCGTCTCTCTTAAACATGCCATTACTCTCTTCTGTTGCGTTTAGTCTCTCTGCCGCTTTCGTTCCACAGATTCTCTCTCGGTCCTGGGTTGATCTACAAATTCTTCTCTCTGTCAGTCTTTTATTTAAAAAAGTATAATTTCTATTCCATGCCGAATGCTTGTTTGCACCCAAGCGCCTTCTCCTTAGATGCAAAGCTCAAATCCACCCGATGTAAAGCCATTCGGTCGGTCGACAAACCGTCTCTAACCTGCAGTCGCTTAGCCATCATCGGGCAGTTGCTTCATTATCTCTTTCCCATCGTCACTGTTTTGTTTTCCGCTCTAGTGAACTATCTTGAGCGGTTTCCCTCCCATTTCCCTATTCTCGTCCATCTAGTTCTCAGGCAGATAGTCACCCTTATCATGTTTCTGTCCCCACATATGGTACTTCTAAGTTTCAGTATTAATAAATTAAATCTCATAAGAGGAATGGAGGATTTGATTTGATCAGATGATGAATTCGTCCTGTAATTCAGGCGTGAACTGAAAAGCTAAGAAGTTCTGGACAGCTGTTTCTACCTGGTTGGGTCTCATCAGCAGTGTGAATCCATCCATCGACCCAACTGGGGCTCGAACAAGGAGACGTCACAGGTAGAACACAAGCATACCACCCAGTCCTTTGAATGTTCCCCCACATACCTCCTCTCTTAAAGTTTGTCATCGATTATGAGGTTTACCCCTTTTGCTGTAAATCACTTTGTGTGGAATAAAAACATATCCGCCCCCTTCATACACCAGTTTCATTGTAAGCAGCTTCGTTTTCATCCGGTGAAGCAGTGAAGCACGATCGCTAGTTGAGATTTGTGTCACTCCAAATGACAGCGCTTAACGAGTCCGTTACGATCAGTGATTTGCCGTACTCTCGTCCATTCGTCACACAATGGTGTATAAAAAATTCGTGTTGAAGTTCTCCTTTTCTTCCATGCTCCGCAGAAAACAAATAGGCGATATGCGTTAGGAATTACAATAATAATTATTCTTACGGTATATGCAAAGAGTACAGCAACGGAACCTATGGAACGAATTGTCAAGTGCTCGACGCATCCAAGTAATCGACGAATCCGTCGAACAAATGGAACCCACCAAGAACGTTGCGCTGACCGTGATCAGCCGGTTTGTCGAACGAAAGAAGTAGATGTCTACGCTGATCCCTCGACCCATCATGCCACGTGGTCAGCAATTTAGAGTGCATGAAGTACCTAGTACTTCGGCCATGCTTAGTAATTCGCTTAATTACTTTTACTACGCCTAGCTCCTTGGAAAGCATAAGCCGGCTTCATGAACATATCTCTGATTGCAGCCGTAGAAGACATGATCATGAAGTTACTTAGGAGTTTGGTACGACGAACATCTCCAGCGTCACTCGGCTATTGTTGATTTTGAGGGTACACCTGTAGCCTTTGCACAACCAAGTGCGAACTACAAGACGGCAGGAAGTAATCCCTCGCCCCGAAAGTCAGGGGGTCAGTGACTTCAGTTTTAAAAGGCCAGTCATATCGACCTTTGTCACGACACCGTCATCGAGCTT